CTTTGGATTAAGTTTAGCCTTTTGCCCATATTAAACCTTACCAATATGCTCATAAACAGTTCAGCTCTGTTATTAGTTTCTTTGTCTAAGAGCAATTTGGCTTTGGTCAACAATTGGTTCATGGCTCCATGTATATGATGTTGAAGCCCTGTAGTAGCAACATCCTTTGTTTTGTCTTGAGAACAATCTCCAACATTTTCGCAAAGATATTCTTTACAGGAAAGATGATTTCCAAAAACGTGGTTGTAGGTGTTTCTGATATCTTCTCGAAGAGATTCTGAATTTTGAACGTTTGCGTAAATAGCCAACTGGACTGTTTTTACTAGTTCATCCAGTATTTCCTTACTCAAAATTTTTCTAGCCGCCAAAGGTACGAGTTTGGTGTCATTTCTAATTTTATGCAGATTTTTTCCATAGTTTTTCAATACATGGTTCATGCATTCAACTTTCTGTACCTACAACGATATTACCTAAAATTAATTACTTAATACACCAGGTATGTAATAAAATTTTCAATATTAATAATTTTTAAAATACTTTTTTGTTTAGCATTAAATAATATAGATCGATTTTTTAGTGGTTATGGATATCAGAAATGCATTACAAAAAGTAGAATAAAGCACACCACTTGTAGGATTACAGAAAAATCTATTAATAATAAATTAATAATAATATTTACCTCCAAACCATAAGGAACTTTTTCTTTAATTTTTGTAAAAACTGATGAGTCACCGTCGGCAATAAATTTTCTGTATGTTAAGTTGTGCATTTCAATACTTGATTTGAAACCCTCGATTATAATGTCTTGCTCCATTGAGGAAGAAGATCCACTCCAATTTTTGAAACATGTGTGATGTCTTGCTGCTTGTCCCTTATTATTGGCTCTTGCACAAATAGAGCAATACTTATTTCTTACACCCAGAAAAAGCAGCATTCCTGTGTATTTTCCAATAATTACCGCCTTAAATAATTATAAAATTAATTTTAAAAAGGTCTTGCGCTGTGAAGCAATTATACATTCATAGAAGTGTATAATTATCTATTTACAACACTCGTATGTAATATATTATTACTTACAACTCCCGAGCATGCGTTGTAAGTATGGCCATAACTCCTTTTAGACCATCCTCCATCAACATATACAGTAATAAATGGTATTCCTGTTTTTTTATCGATATCACCACGACTTAATGCTGCAGCATGCTCTTTTTGGCCAGCTTCTTCCATAGTAGACCACAGACAGTTTTTCCAAGTCTAAAAAAATATAAATGTAGGTCCCTGTAACCTTGTAAAATTTTTAAATTAGTTAATCATACTTCACTTAGTTCTCTTTGTATTTTATAAAATAACCAAGATGATAGACTTGGAACATCTAACACACTTAAAAATTCATTTAAGGGTGTGTAAGTGCTTCCTGTGGCCAGTGTCCCCCAAACAGCAGCCCTATTCAATACACTCCTTTCCTTACTTTCTTCTTCGTTGCAAAGAAGTATTTCCTTTTCGCAAATGTTACATTTTAAAGTAAATGTACTCCTAAGTCCTTCCTTTTTCTCAGAAAAAATCTCTAAACTACCTCCAGTACATCTCTTGTTGTGTTGTGTTTGCAAAACTAATGCCTTGGAAAGAAAATGATTAATTTCGACAATTCGACAACCTAACAGTTTTTTTTCAACCGTCACATTTTCAACTTCGAGTTGTTCTTCCTCAATTCTACAAATAACATTTTATAAACATTTTTTATTTAAATAATTTCACAACTGCTTACTTTAAATATTCTTCTAATGGTTTAACGTCATTGAAGAAATTATATTCATTTGTGGTATCAGAGGAGCTTTTATTATTTTTATCCGGTATCACTTTTGAGGTGCTTGGAATATTTTCTAAATGGTCCGTTCCACTTGCAACATCAATAATTTCATGTAATAAATTCTTACAAAAAATAGTTGTGTCAGCTTTTTCAACAACTTCATTTACAATTTCCTTAGCGACATTCTTTGTAAAAGAACGATAGGCCTGAATTGTCTTCTGAACTTTGGATTTTATGGACCGTTTCTTAAAATCGGGTTTCTTTTTATTTCCCATTTTTACTTATCTACCTGAATCAAAAAATACCATGAATTTAATAATAATTATACGATTTTAGCATAACAATAAATTTTTGAAAGGTTCTTTTTTCAATTATTCAAGTTTAAAAAACAAAATAAAAATACGAAATTGGAAGATCGAAAAATGATAAAATCGGAATTTCTAATAAACAAAAGAAACGGAAAATAGAATAATCATAAAATGGGAGAATGGTAAAAACAAGAAATTCAAAAAAATTAAAAATGAAAAATTCAAAATTTCGAGAAATCGACAAATTGCAAAATCTAAAAATGATAAAATCTGTACTTAGTAAAATTAAAAAATCGAAAACTACACTTTTTAATTTATAGGATAAACTATGATTAAAAAATTCTTGAATGTCTTTGATTTTATTAAAAATATCAACTTCGATTATTTATTTTCTTGAAATATAAAATTTTAAAACAACCAAGAAATATTTATAATAAGTTAAATTCTAATAAATAAAAATAAGTTTGAATTAATTCAGAAATTCGAAAATTGGTGTTTTCATAAAATTTAGATTCAAGTAACATTAGATAATTTAAATTAAGTTTTACCTCTTTTTCACTCTGCACAATACACAATAAAATTGTATTACACTCAGAACTAATTAGAACAACCACTCGATACGACTACCAAATAAACAATGAAAGAGTCGGGCGTCTTCGGAAAAGTTCGCACCTGATATATAAAACGATTTCGGGTCGTCTTAAATATCTATTGCGGTATTGCGTTATTTCTCCGATAGAGGCAGCATCTCTCGGGAAAGAATCTTTTCTCTCTGTTGTACTGCTAGTAGGGGGACCTCTCTTTCATACAACGGCCAAGCACGTATTTTTTTAAGAAAACTAGCTTTTATACATGTCTCCTAAACTATCTAGCCAATCATGCGCGCAATGAAACAAGCTCGAATTTGTAACAAATTGTCCAATTATCAAATGGACTGCGTGTTGTCAAGTAAAGCATACATTTTTATATGTATTTAAATTTTTGTAACCACAAAAGTTCCACAGTTGTTTAAACAATTTTAGTTTTTAAATGTTTAAACGAACTTGTTTACTTTAAACATGATTATACAAGTACAATTAGATGTTATTTATTAATGGAGTATTTAAAGTACTAGTATAGATTATAAAGCTAAAAAATGCATATTTACAAAAAAAATATTCTCAAAAAAAGTGTCCGATGGTGGTTACTAATTCTCAGGATTGGCACATCTGAAACAAAAAATTTCAAAGGAAAGAGCCCTTACAAGACAATTAACCACCTTTTAAAAAAAGTCGAAAAATGAATTTTGGTATGCAAAAGTTGGTAAAAAAAAATCGATTTTTTTCAAATTTTTGTTCAAATATCCATCATTTTATTTTTTGGTTTTATTTTTCGATTAAAAGTTTAAAACGATTAAAAAATGCATTTTTTAGCCTTTGGCTAAATATCTTTTGGTTCATTGGCTATATATCTTTTCTATTTTTTCTTAACAGAGTTAAACTTTTTTTCAAACCTTTGGTATCATTTTGTTTTTAACACAAAAATCTTGCAACAAATAGTTCTCGTTTAATCTTGAAAGAATTATCGTCTAATAGAAAGAATCGCTGAGTGGCACGTTCCTGTAAGGAAAGGCAGATAAAGGTCAAAAACATGGTGAAACAGTATTAGAATGCTTAGGTGGATTAGTGGAGTGACAAAAAAAGATACATTAAGAATGGTATATCTATTAGTTTTAAGGGAAGTCATGGCGTATAACCAATTGATTCCAAAATGAGAGAGCATATATTAATGGTTAGGGCATGTTCACCTTCGAGATGCTAATCCCTTAATAACTTAATACAAAGAATCGCTGATCTGCTAGTTCCTCGAAGGAATAGGAGAGGAAGACCAAAGAAGACATGGTGGGAGAGGGTGCGTTGGGTGGGCCTATTCAGGATATGTCGGTAAGGGATATTGATATGCACATGCATGTCAATGAAATTATCTTGTTAACAATATCATTCTAAAAAAAGTAATAATTATCTGTCGGAATTTTACAATTCTGTAAATAGAAAAAGAAGCTTTATCAATAAAAATCCTTCTTCACCAACAATCCTAAAAATATCAAAACGTACGTAACACTATCAAAAAAAATAACAACTTTATCATCACAAATTCACATTAAAACTATGTACTATAATACTTTCCATCATTGTTCGGCATAAATTACTAAAAAATCAAAAATATGTTTAAACCAAACATAAATAAAGACAATCAATAAGATGTTTATAAAGTAAATTAGGCTGCAATCCAACATAATATCTTGGTCAGATACATCAAAGTGACTACATAAAAGAATTATTGCTTAAAAATACAGCATAAGAAGCCATATACCAAATAGTACAGCTTAGCCAAGCATTCTTTGGAAAATATCTATTTTTTCAGTTTTGAAAATCGATATAATTTAAAAACAGCCAAATTATAGTAAAATGTACAATGTATCTTGGGGGATGATTCGTATTAAAAAAATCAAAACTGTATGTATAATAATACAGATGTATACAACACTGGTATACTGAAAATATGGGTACACACAGTACACTCAAACTATCCGTATTTTTTTAGGAATCTTTTTTGCCTGTTTCGTGTACCATTTTAGTTGTAGATTTCAATACTGAAACATGTAGTAATAAAATTGTAAAAACAATATGCAGCAATATTGCAATATGCAGCAGATTGTACATAATAGAAGAATTATCTGTTGGTATATCTGCGCGTATGTTATTGTGCATCTTGTGACTTAATGGCAAAGCTACTTTGGGAGAACTGCACTCTTTCACTTTCGATAAATATGTTTCTCGTGATTAAATGTTCTTTATGATCGTTGGAAATAGTTTTTTAAATTAAATTACTTGTTTCTGTTGTAGATTGAAAAACCACAACCTGAAGGCCTTTCGCACCGAACTAGAGACCAATGGGAAATCGAACGATCATCACTTAAGTTTATCAGAAAGTTAGGCCACGGACAGTTTGGAGAAGTATGGGAGGGAATGTGGAACAACACAACCGCTGTAGCAATAAAGACCTTAAAACCAGGCACAATGGATCCCAAAGATTTCCTCGCCGAGGCTCAAATTATGAAAAAATTAAGGCACAGAAAGTTGATCCAATTGTTTGCCGTTTGTACTGTTGAGGAGCCCATATATATTATCACTGAATTAATGAGAAATGGTAAGTATACAATCTGACGGTCTTTTTAGTCTTCAGTTTATTAACAGATAGTTTCGGAAAATTTTGCATCTATGGTGTTTGGAAGTCCATCTATACAAGTGATAAGGAGAATCACTTGTTTCTATTAGAAAAATCCTCTATCTGCCATATGTTCAGAATCATCATCATGTTCATCATGTTCAGAATGTTCAGAACATCATGTAACTTAAGCTTATAGTGTTGATTTAAAAGACGTATTTTTTTTAAGTTTATTCCAAATTTTATTCCATTAGTATTTATCAACACTTTATACATTTATTTTTCTTTTACAATATTTTGTCTATGTCATATATTATATTTATTTGTTGGACATACGAGCTATTAAGGACCAAGAACCTGAACCTCTCAATGTTGGTGATTTCCTCTAAGTATCTGAATCACAGCAGACAGCACTTTATCTATTTCATCATATTCATATAGAAGCTTTTGGTATATTTAAAACCAATACAGTCAGAACTTAAAAATATTAATTAAGTAAGAATACAGCAGTTGAAGCCAATACTATTATAATCATTCTCGTTTCTTTAGGTTCCTTGTTGGAATATCTCCAAGGCAAAGGAAAATCACTCAAATTAACCCAATTAATAGACATGGCTGCTCAAATCGCGGCAGGAATGGCCTATCTGGAATCCCAGAACTATATTCACAGAGATTTAGCTGCAAGAAACGTCTTGGTAGCAGAAGGAAATGAAGTAAAAATTGCAGATTTCGGTCTGGCTAGACTAATTAAAGTGAGTATTGTGTAATATTATAACTTTAATATAAGTTGTAACTTTAAACATTATATTGCTTATAATATATCTAAATTGTATCTACGTTGTATTTTGTGGCATACGGAAAAGCTGTTCAGCACGTTTTATGCTTGTCCCTGAGCATTCTCGAATTTTTCGGAGGCATGACTGTTGTTTTCTTTCAATACCTTGCTATTATGCTATTTTTCTATACTTTATTGTGGTCAATAATTTTCTCTAAGTATTAGGCTCTTTGTAATAACATCTATGTTATTAACATGTTCTATCCATGAGATACGAATTATTCGTCTGTGTATGTATACGTCGAATGCTTCAAGACACTTAATTGCTGTTGGTTTTAATGTCTACGTTTCAAAACCATATAATAACACTGACCACACATAGCATTTCGTCATTCGTTGTGTTGGTGGCAAGTTAAGATTTTCATCACATAAGAATGGTTTTATTTTATTGAATGTTGATCTCGTCATTTAAATTCTACTTTTAATCCATTTACTTGTAACGTGACGTTAGTATATGTTGTTCCCTAAATATCATGAACTTAGTTTTAGCTACGTTTATGTTCAGTCCAAATCTTTTCCATTTTTTATCAATACTGTTTAAAATCTCTTAAAGCTTCTCCATAGTGTCAGAAAAAGTGACTGTATCGGCTGCATATCTAATTATACTTAATTGTACTGCATTTATCTAAACGCCGAAATCTGCTTGATTTTCTACTGCTTCCTTAAATATGTGATAAAACTATAAATATCTATCTCCTATCTATCTAAAATATTCACACATATGCAGCGTATTAGTTGTTATTGTCATTTATTAGTAATTTGTGTTGCTTGTTATATTTGGTGGTTCTTGTTTTGATATAAATGTAAGAAATAACCCATTTACAAATTGGACTTAATACAAATCTCTAATTTTATTATTGCAGGAAGATGAATATGAAGCCAGAGTAGGTGCCAGATTCCCTATTAAATGGACAGCACCCGAAGCTGCAAACTATAGTAAATTCTCTATTAAATCTGATGTTTGGTCATTCGGTATACTTCTCACAGAACTGGTCACATATGGAAGAATACCATATCCAGGTATGTATGTTTTCAGTAAAACACGAACTTTAACCAAATTCTCATTGGGATAAAGATTTGGATAAAACTGGACATGATAAGATAAAGTTAAATGTAGTATTTTCAACGGCACACAATGAGAAAAATATACTTATAAAAATAATTTTTCTTCATCTTCGTCTACTCAGTTCTACTTGTATCTGGCAATTGGTCATGAGATTCCAACAAGAAATCCTGTGCCACATAAAAGCAGGAAACTTTCGTATACACACACATACATGTGACACATGATGTTCACAATTTTTTTAATTAGATGTCGCTAGCGCGTCCGTATTGAAGCCATGTTATTGTTGCTCCTTAAAAGGCAGAAAATATTGATTTTTCACGTGGAGAACTCCTATGAATAGCTGTTCTGACGAGACCTATTAGGTCGAAATACATATCAACAGATACATAGGATTTGTTTGCGTGAAATCAAATATTTGCTGCCTTTTTTCATTTTTTTTAAGCTTTAAAGATATAATGATGAGATAAAGATGAGCTAATATCACTTTTAGATATCAACTTATGGTTTCTGAAAAGTAAACCATCACACATTTCGAGTTAAGGAGTTTTTCAGCCTTAATAAGATCTTCCTAAATCCAAATTCGTTTTTTCGTCCGATTTTTAGTCTGAAGTACTTCTGATAGATACAGATCTGATAATTGGTCCTGTATCGCATCACTTCTCTCTCTCTCTCTCTTGACAGTTGATAGCGGCCATATTGGTGTTGACTACATATGTCAAATTGGCTGTCATTTATTCAGTCTGTTTTGTTAAATCACCACGAATGGATATAGCGAACAGTAACGCATTCAAATAATACAATTCTATAAATTTCTGTTCGGGTAACGTTCAGAGCGTTTCGCCGACTAGGACTACCATTGCCGCTATCCGTAAGAGTGTTCAGAAGAAACCGAGATAGTCGATTTCATGCCGCTTACAACAACTCAGATTTCACCTACCACAACTTGCCGAATTTTGCATTGTGACGTGGGCATACACCCATACAAAATTCAACTGGCCCAGGATATGAAGGTAAACAACCGTAGACAACGACGTCTGTTCGAAGAATGGAGTCGGGAGCAGTTAGAAAGTAACCTTAATTTTCATCGAAAAATCATCTTTAGTGATAGATGCATTTTTGGATAAATGGATATGTCAACAAACAGGATTGTTAAACTTTAGATGATACCAAACACATGAGATCCAAAAGAGTATCCCGAAAAATTACTCTTTGGTGCGGATTTTGGATAGGCGACGTCATCTGTCCATATTTCTTTAAAAACCTTATCCACGCCACCGTCAATGCGCCATACCTCGATAATTACCGACTTATTTTGGCATGAAAGGGATAATATGGACACCAACGACACGTGGTTTTAACAGGAAGGGCCTACATGTCACATACCATATTGCACATTCTGCACGAGCGATTTGAGGCAAGGACATCTCACGTGGAGGTGACGTGAACTGACCATCGAGATCGCACGATTTGATCCCGTTAGATTATTTCTTGTAGGGTTTTCTTTAAGTCGCAGGTGTATACGAATAAGCCACAAACTATAAAAAGCCAACGTAACCCATGCCCTCGTTGAAATTCAGTTTGATTTGTGGCTAGATGAATGGCATCGAGAGGCTTTTAAACGAGTAAAAAAGTTGATGATGTTTCAAACACCCTTTGTTTAATTTAAAAAGAAAGGAGATGGAATCCATATATCGTAACATTTATTAAAATAGAACGGGATAGTAGAACATTGTATGGGACATGTGGATAGAATAAAAGAAGACGAAGTACCAAACAAAATATTTAGTGCCAGTGGGAAAAGAACGAGAGGCAGACCAAAGCTGAGATACATAGACCAAATGGAAAATTATTTAACAACCTTAAAAATAAAAAAGGTTAGAGAAAAAAGCTCGAAATAGATCAGAATGGAGAAGAATCCTGAAACAGGCCAAGACCCAAAAAGAGTTGTCGAGCCAGTGATGATAATCATGACATGCTTAACGCGGATTAATTAAGATAAAAACTTTAAGTAAAATCAGTTATGTGTATCAGTATGTTAATATTACTTAAAAGATTTTTGTATTATATTTTGTTTATTTTTTTCTTAGCTTTATCCCAATTTTACTTGACAGTAAATTAATTTAATGAAAACATAACTATCAATGCCTTCATTTCAGGTATGACGAATGCCGAAGTCCTGCACCAAGTAGAACACGGCTACAGAATGCCAGCTCCCCAAAGTTGTCCTCCACCATTGTACGACATCATGCTCGAGTGCTGGAACCGCGATCCTATGCGAAGGCCTACCTTCGAAACACTTCAATGGAAACTAGAAGATTTCTTCACCATGGAAGGATCCGAATACAAAGAAGCATCCGCGTACTGAGGGCACGTCCACCCCCCTGCTGATTGGTTGCGTAACTCCATTGAGGTACACTACCATTAATAGGGAGGTGGATATATCTATTTATCAATAATTATAGATAGATATGCCGTACTTCTTATGTTTTTATACTTTTTGACTTCTATGTTACGATTTTTAAAATGTTGACAGGTCGTGATCAGTGTAGAAAAGTCGTGGTATCAACGGGGTTGGTAGGTATCAATAGCATTAAAATATACTGATAGGTATAAAAAAGTCGAACAGGGTTGATAAATACACATAAAAGAGGATAAATAAAATAAAGAATCAGTGTCAGTATGGATGAACTTTTATTTAAATGCACTTTGAAAGCTGCTTAATCTGAGCTGTAAAAAATCATCCTGTAGTTTTGTGGTGTATTATAAAACCGGAAGGTTCCAAGAAAACTCGAAAAAATGCACATCTACTTGTAAGCTGTGATAGCTAGATATTAAGTATTTGAAACCATCTTCCATCAAACCACAGCGGAATCTTGTTTTATTTTTGTTTTTATATAAAATTTAAAATACAGTAGAATTTAAAATAATGATTTCTAGGCGAACTGATAGGTGAAGGTAGCACTGAAGAAAAAAAACTAAGAGAGACGAAGGTGATGACAGAGAACAAAGGATAACAATAAAACATAACCTTAGTTATACACAATAATTTATTTATTAACAGGTTATTTCCAATTTTGATGTAATTTTTTTCCACCTAATTCATTTAATGCATTTTTGTACATCTATCACCAGAAAACTACTGAGATAGAAAAAAGCATTTACTAATAAATATTTCCATGACAGTAATAACAGTATTACAGTATTTGAACAAATGAATCGTTTGTTTTATGAAGCAAGCAAGCAAACAAACAAATACAAATATATTATACCAGATAATCGAGTCAAATGCGAAATATGACAAGAAATAAAAGGTGGGAAATACTTTCAGAAGAATAGTTCCTAGCGGAAAAATAATTTAATATGTTACCAGGTAGACAGGACATGGCGTTAACAAGGTGAGATAACTTCATAGTTATACATTAGGCGCTAGAGACGAAGATCCAGCGCAAATCCTTATTTTCGTACCGATTCGATCCGAGCGCCTTGTTTACATAATGATCCATTCTGTCAGTAGCGCAACGTTAACTGTTCGGTGCCGTTAATTATATAAAAAGCATAATGACGCTACTGTCCACCTCTTCGGATACAGTCGGCACATGTCACATGCGCGAGGTTAGATCTTCTTAAGCAGCGTTTACAGTAGCAGGTCAGGTTTCTTCGCACAGCTTTTAAAAGAATCATTTTTGGCAGCATTATTTAGGTAAATAGTGGCAGGCGCAGGTCTGAAGAACAGATAACACCAACACTAAGCAGTAGCTGACACATCGCAAATACACCACCGATTAAATGCAATTGAAACGTTCCTTTCGGATCTGGTCACTAGTCGGAGCAGTCTTCAGGCGAAAATACGGCCTTTCTCTAACCTCACGGGACTTTAACATGATTGACGTTTATTGTACTAGTTAAATAACCAGATAAGGAAAGAACAAAAACGAGATCTAATTAAACATAAATGCGACAAGTTAAGATTATAAAGATCTGTACTTTGTTTTATTTATCCCTTCAGTTGTGTCAAACTGTTTTAGGTCATTTTTTTTATAACATTTATTGGCAAAATTGGATATATTGGAATACTTCAATTTGATTATTAGAGCAGTACTTAGAATGTTCTAAATGAATGTATAACATATTTGAAAATGACTCTTATATTATTGATACCATGATTTTGATCAATGGTTTTAAAGAATTATAAGGATATCCGAAAAAAGGGTGGTTTGACTCTTGAGAACAATGTCTAAAATATTTAAATAATTACTTATGAAACCACTCTTTATTCGTCTCTACCAATTTATCAACCTAAAAAAGCAATTTTTCTAATCTTAGGTACCATTTTTTACTAGATGTTTAATACGCAATTACTCATACATATTCTAAAAATTATATTTATTATTTAATTTATATTTTTTAATATTTGTCGCAGCAAATGTCTGCTATTCTTCTAACGGAATTGACAGTATTTGTGTGTATGTCAAAGGCTTATAGCGTATCGTGCGATATTGGTGAAGCTGAAACCTATGCAGTCAAACTCAAACATGAGGATAGACAATAAATAGTTAAATAGTTATAACGAATATTTGGTGGATGCTCTCGGATTTGATTTTTGGTGGATGATAATGGTTTATGATGAAATTTTTTTATTGGCAGTTCTTACGACTAACACTTCACTAAATTTAAAGGCGGTAACACAAAACTTCACCTACTAGTATGTTTTCCAAATTAATAAATGGCGGAGTCAGTTTTTGAATCCAGTTTACAACCTTTTTAGAATGTTTTCAAATAATAATAACTAAATGTTTAAATCATATTTTTTTCTCGTTTTGACAGATGACATAATAGTCGTAATTTTGGAAATGATAGAGCTTTTCATAAATTTTCGTTACAAAATTTTACCCAATATTTACTTTTTTAGTTTCAAGGTCAGGTAAAACATAAACAGGGTCAAATATTCAAGTGCTTTTTTCACGTTTCCATTTGGTAAATTCGTGTTTTTATTATTATTATTTGATATCCATGTAAAAGTTATTATAACCAATATAAACGTTTTTGTACCTTGTCTTATTCTTAATTATCATAATATATCGATGTAATGAGTATGTTAATACATCTTCCGGTTTTTCTGAATTTTTGTAGTAAATGCCAAGTTAACATACATCCTTTGGTATTCTAACTACTTATTCATTGTATAATAGAGTTTCTTCATACTTCTAACATACCTGATGTCAAGTGTAATGTGTAGGGGATCTATAATTGTAATAGAGAATGAGTGTGAGCCATTAAATTTGCATGTGTTCAAATATAATAAAATTATTTATGTGATGTTATATACGCATAGTAATAAGTCGAGTTAACACGCTCAATGCCGGACACACATATTTTAAAACATCAAACGATGAATAGTGTTTGAGGTACACAAAAGGAATAAGGTCGCGTTGCTCAGAATCGGAGAGATATGGGAGTACTCCTTTAGACATTTCTACTAGTACACAAACTAAAATAAATTTGGAGAGAAAAAAAAAGAAAATAATACAAGACGATAGCTACTAGAGCTAAACCAGAAATATTGAATGAATAGAAACAAATTACCAATGGGCGTCACCAATTTTTTTCTTTTCAGCTACTAAAAATTAGAAAAGAGGATGAAAAATCAAATTTTTAACGAGATTAAAAGATAGAGTTGTTAAAATATTGGTATTATATAAAATAAATGATAAAATATATACTTACGAAAAAATTATCATAAAATAGCAAAATTCATGTATATAAATTTTGATACAGGTTTTAGCAGGTTTCTAAAAATAAGTCAATGATTATATTTCTAGTCAAATATTCAATAAACAAATTAATTTGTTGATAGATTTATTAAAGTATTCACATCTTGGCATAAAAAATCATTGCTTTCAATCAAAAAATACTTTTTTAAAAAAAATTCTTCCGAGATTCATAATGAGTAGATTGAAACCTTATACAGTATCATATAAAAGTTATTGTTTTCTGAATTAAATTGATTTTTGAATCGTTACAATATAAAACACTAGAAAAACATGCTCGCCTCTTTTAGTACATTCACAGTCCAAGCTAAGCATTTGTTATTCGATTTATGGGATTAATTAAATATTCAGCTATTAAACTACGATTTAATGGTCAGACATATGAAGTAGGTATATACCTCAGAGAAATAAAGGCAAATTAATAGAAGCATAGAAATTCTGACTTACCAAACAAAATATCAACAAAAATTGTATTAAAAACAAAAATGCTCTTTACAATTTCTAAAAACAGTATACAATTTTCATTAAAAACCGCCATATTCTTTCATTTGCCATTATCAAATTATATCTGAAAAACAACTTGAAAGTTTATTCTATCGAACAAACATTTTTTTACTGGAAAAAACTTGATATTCAAAACATAGAAACCTATAGAAGTATTATATATTTAATTCATAAAACATTCGATAATTTTAAAAAATTGAAAATTGTTAGCTGGTTTAACCCACAAGTATTCTACACGAATTTTAATCCTCGTATGTATCATGAATGAATTTTAACTGTCAATAATCTTGTTTGAGTTTAGACTGCTTATTCAATGTATATGTATTGATATTATGGTATTGTCAGCTTTGTCTTTTATATAGTTGTATTATATTGTTTATCATTGTTAATGATAAACGTTTATTGAACAAATCCACTAAAATATTTATACGAAGGAAACTGTAAATAAATATACAATTTTAAATATACTTTTTTAAAATTATTTATTTGGTTGTGTTTTACTTGGCTTTTTGGCCTTCATACTTCACTTTTAAGGCATGTAAAAATTTAAATGATTAATATTTTTCTCGTAAATCCATTGCACGTCCTCTAATTTGACGTTCTCATTTTAGTATAGTCACATAGTATTGCCGTTTTTTCGGGATAGTAGGGAAGGTAGATTATGAAATAGTTAAAATGTGGAACTATTACTACTAAAATCATGAATGTGTTGCTTGTGTGAGTCCATTTCAAATAGGTAAAAAAGAAATAAATAAGACTTACTCACAATCAGTTTAATTTAACTACCTAGACGACCGGTATCGCTTTCTACAATTTGCAAAGCATCTTCAGGTCAGTCGATACAAAGGTAATTAAATGATGCCGGTACACGATTTATTAATGGTTGGGAGAGCATAGTTCAGATTATCCTGTAATTTCTGATGATGGAGATCTTTATTTTTTTTACTATTGTAACTGTTTGATAATTAACGGGGAAGTTTCTTGAGGAGATAGATATTAACCAATGAAGTGGAAAAAAAGGTTTAATGTGATTGTTTGTTAAATGACAGTGATGTTCTGTATTTAAAAGTTATTTATATTTATTCAAGATATG